CCCCCTCTCCGGACGAAAGGGCGAATTGCGCACCGCTGGATCACGGGAGTAATTTTACTCAAAGGCTCTTCATTAACACGATCCCTGTTTGAAAACACGTCCTTAACGCTTCGCGTCGTGCCTGCCGCCGTCGAAGCCTCCTGCCTTCGGACATTAGCCGAGCCTACTTCTTCCTTCAACGAAACCCCGAGGAGTTGTCCGAGATGAATAGGGACTTCAGTAGTTGCACTCAAAGCCACTTTCGACAACTTCTTTCTGACAAATTGTAAAGGATGGCGCTCTCAACAAGTTCATCCTTCCATTTATATTCTTCGTTTTCCTCTCTCTTATTTCTCTGTATTTTATACAGTCCAATTTTTTTATTTGTCATTTTTATTATACGCTACTTTAATATTATAATATATTACTATAATATACTATTATATATATATTATATATTACTTCCATTTTTGTTAGTTATTTGCTGTTATAAATAACTTGCCTGTCTTGTAGTTTTTTTTTTTATAAAACGTAAAAAATATAAATAATAATACAACAACAACAACAATCGTAACAGCAATTGTTTTATTTTTATTTTTTAGGGGTATTGCAAAAGCAGGCGAACCCAACAATTTCTTACCGATGTCAGCAGGTTCCATACGCATGGAACCGATCTACGCGAACCTAAGAAGAAAGCAGAGGAAGCTCGCAAGAGAAAACCCAGGAGTATTAATGGCAGTGTCCAGGGGTGCGAACCAAGCTATCTCCGAATGCCAATATCAGTTTCGCAACCGGCGGTGGAATTGCTCGACAAAAAATTTTCTCAGAGGGAAAAATCTCTTCGGCAAGATCGTCGACAGAGGTAAGAAAATTGATAAATCAAGTTCAATAATATATGCAATGGAGAATTGATTATCTGATGGCAATAATTAGAACCATTATTATTAAAATATTTTTACAACAATTTATCAATGCGATTATGTTACTTAACACAACTCTATCCAAGAACATATAATATATAGTCAATTCCGCCGACTATTTTCGTAAAAAGCGTGTTCAAATCACCATCGAAATAAATTTTATTAAAGAAGCCGTAAAAGAATGAAAAATAAGTTCCTTGTTTCTGTGCAAAAACAAAAGTCGCAACAAAATAATGCATAAGCTACTTAATATGCATCTGGCTCATATTTAAAAAAACGATCCATTGTGCCGCGATACAATCATTGTTTCTCTATAGAAATTCACTGGAGACGAGTTTCAACGAAGGAAATTAAAGAAATAAGTCAAATAAGGTACGAAAGAGAGAAAGAGAGAGAAGTTCGATCACGACCGTTAAGATCGCGAGTGACAAATCTGTCGATTTGCTTAAGCCAATACGGGCTCGGGATGTCTTGTAACACTCGGTAGATTAAGTAATAAGGTCGTCATCTCGTCATCGCAATGCGTCATCGCTAAGCGAACGGACACCTTTAAGATAAGCCGTGGATTTTTCAGCGGATGTACAGCCAATTTAAAACGACATCATTGGCCTCTTATCTGGCCGAAAAGCGTTATTACTTCGAATGGATCATATTTAACTTTACTTTATCTCGATTATACACAATTATACAATGAAGCTTACTTACGGATTTACTTATTGTGCTTACGAGAGTTTATATAACTTTTATATAAACTCTCTGTATTAAAGATCTCTTATTAAAGATGAAACGTAAATTATAATATAGACTGTACAAAATTAATAATTTCAAGACGTATACCTAAATTGTAATTAAATATCAAAATAAGTGATACAAGATGAAACAAGCAGTGTTTGTTACATAAATATAAATGAGTGATTTATATATGAGAAACACTATTAAATAATAATTAACTATATTCGCTGAGATATTAGGTATTCTATTGCTATTTAAAACCATGATCGAACACCCGCGGTGCTTTCGTCAAGGCGCATTAACATCTCATCCGAATGCGAACGATCACATAGATCGAGTGCAGAGCGCGAAGGCTCGAAGTCGTCATAGGGTTAGAAGGACGAGGGCCACGGTGATGCCACGATGAGGAGAGAAGAGAGGACAAGGGGGGGGACTTTAGGAGGCGTGCCCTTCGTCCGAAGGCCCCGGGCACGTGCCCTCACCGGCCAGATGTATGTTTTGCAACCTGATAATGGACCTTCTCGTACCAGTTCTGGCTCCCCTGCGGCTCTTTTAGATCTCGTCGAGGCGATTGTAAGCCGAGCTTTTTCGCTCGAGCCGCTCCCACCCCATTATGTCGAATGTCCCCATATGGCCACTTAGTAAAACTAAAAGAAATACACGGCGCAAAGAGAGAGAGAGAGAGAGAGAGAGAGAGAGAGAGGAGGAGAAGGCAAAGAAAGGGGTAGAGAGCGAGAGAGTAGCGCGCGCGTTATTTTCACGAGCCTGTAACACGCACGCATCGACGCCCAGAGACACGTTTCGTTGTTGCAACATTGCAACACGAGACGGTCGTAACGTCGCGATGGGGTGACGCCGGGATTGGCGGTTAATATACGAGATGTTCCCTCTGGTGTGTCTGCGACACCGGCATCTAGTTGCAGATATTATAGATTCGTATCTTCCGTGTACAATAACACTCGGCTTCCCCTGATTTCCGATTCACCCTCCGATTGTATTCACTCTGTGCTGTTACTGCACAGCGCATTTGTCGCGCGCCAACGTACTAAAAATGATTAACTATTCAATCCGTACCTTCAGCACCTTTGTACCCTGAGGTTACCTTTATGGTTAACAATTTGGCAAACTTCCTGACCTTGCTGTTTTTTTAAGTATCTCTTTGATGTTATTGAGTATCATATAGAATTTATGGAGTTCTCATTCGTGCCAAATGTCTTCACTCTCTTGCGAGATTTTTACGAAACCGTTCGTAAAAAATTAAAAGCCGACTTGTACTTAATATAACATTCAGCGTATATAATATCTTTGCGTCAAAAGTATTATTAAAGAGTTATACACTCCCATGTGCGTTATTACCTACTTTGCGGCCGTTAAGGGGATAAAGACGTGGCGCGGCGGCTATTAGAAATTCTGTAAATTGAGCGGGCGTCACGGTAACGCGCGGCATTTATATGACACCTGTAAACGAAAAAGCGAGAGCGCCATGTGGCGTCCATAACGCTTGACGTGTTAATCAAAAGCCCCGAGAAGGCCACTCACGGGATAATAACGCCGGCGGGGACGAGAATCCGTTTTTACATTCGCTTCGCACTTCTATGACACATTGTTCTGTCGGGTCCGGATAGAAAATGATTATACGTGTGTGAATCGTGAGATACAAAGGCGCGTCACGCGGTTTAAAGATCGATCGTAATGTTATTCCTGTCAAGATTAAATAATCATTGTGAGAGGTATTAATTTGATGCGCGCGGAAAACCTGTCATGATTACGTTCGCCATTCTACGTGCAAAATAAATAGAGTCTACACTGTTAGATCTATTGTGTCAAATTTAACCTTATTTAAGTCCCACTGCTCCTACTTAATAAATAGTTATTTTTAACTAAAACAATATAGTTACTTTTAAATAAAACAATAGAATTTAACCCAAATTTAGGTTAAATTTGAACTGTTTTAAATTATTTACTCCATTGTTTTAGTAAAAAATAACTATTTATTAAGTAGAAATTTAAATGGCAACTTAAATAAGATTCAGTTTAACACTATAGATTTAACAGTGTAGTAGGTGCCATAGAATATTTATGCGAATAAGCAAAATTTAAGCACAAATTCGCGCTTAAAGTTAAAGAAGCTAATCGGAAAGCGACGCTCTTGCGTGTTTCTTTATATTCTATATAAAATATAGTAGATCCACGCAAATATGCGTGTTAACTAATTGATTTTATTTTTGCACGTAAAAGTTATAACAAAACTCAACAGTTTTATAACAGATTATCGTAAATTACAATTAATTTCAATTTATACGTTGCCTTTTTCCATTTTCCGTAACAATCTGCAAGGATCATTCGCAGCTTCCTGCACGAGACGGAGCCCTCGACCTTTCACCTCCCGTCTTCATCGCCCTGCACGAGCGCGGACCAGTTTTCTCCGCTCATCTCGCTGCCGCTCTCGTATATATCTTCTTTGTCCTCGTACGGATCCTCTCGAGATTTGATCTTCACGGTGGTGCTGGCATAAGGGAAACGCAGATCGCTATCAACTACCGGTAATGCGCTCTCGTACTTGTCGCACGTTCAAGGATGAGGAGATCAAAAAGGGGGAGGGGGGGAGGAATCCGGAAAGAACTCGTAGTCGAACACCGGCTTAAACGGCCATTTCCGGATTATCACCATACTCAAACTGTGTCCACAGTCATGTCGGAAATACAAGCTGTGAAAGTAGGATGGCGACATGCGCAGATTTTCAAGCGGGATAACACGAGTCTATTGGGTCGTATCGGTCTCACCAATATCACCGGGTGTTGCGTGACGTTCCGTTGCAAATATACATATTCATTGCTGTAAGAAACGGAAAGTCATGTTAGAGATCCACGTTATACGAAAAAAAAATTCATATATACATATTGAGCTGTTAATTGAGAAATATAAGTATACTATATATAAGTTAGAGGAGATAAGATACTCTGTATGGACGTTAATTTTCTCGGCGCGCCAATATATTATTAAGTACAGAACAAGTTGTCAATCCACGGTGGAATTTCTAATATAATCGCGCGAGTAAGACGGTCTTTTAATGTATTCAATGTGTCAGTGTGGAAACGCACAATTAGCGATTCGATAAAAAATCGCGACGTCGATTAATATGTATATACGATCCGGAACTTTTGTCGACAGGTAACACGAGAATTGAATATATACGACATTTGAATTTAAATAATGTATAATCACACGTATTGCGTATGTAAGAGAAAAGTGGATGGAATTAGTATACCGAGCCGGGGGATCTGAGCCGCGCGCGAGGAGAACTTTCGGGAGACTCTCTCTCGAACTCCGGATACTTTTGGTTGCGTTTGTACTCGATATTATAGCTGGTAGTGAGTGCGTTCGCGGCCTGTAATCATTTCGCCGCCAAGAGCCACCTACCGCATTCGTACCCTTGCCTTCCACCGTTTGCCATCCCGTTCCTTCTCCCGGCTCCTCTTCTGCTCCTTTCTCTCGCGGCTTTCTCCCGTGCCCTCCGCGTCTCTTTCTTCTCTTCGGCACACACCGTGCCTCGCAAAAGCAGGCCTCGCAGGCCTAATTGCTCGGTAAACTGCGAAGACTCCGCCGCATCGGGCGCATAATACTGTCTCGTCCTCTCCCGGATTATTTTTGACGGTCATAGCCGAAATCATTCGGGTCGCGGAAAAAGAAAGGAGCGACCGCGTCGCGTCGGTGACCGACGGAATTCGTTCGTGTACGCGAGAGTTTCAATTTAATTCGAAGGAGATTAAAAATAAACTTAAAGAACAATGATTTAAGAACTGTAGATAATAAAATTTCGCGTGTAACCTTTCAATTTAATTCAAAGGGGAATAAAAATAAAATTAAAGAACAATGATTTGAAAACTATAGATAATAAAATTTGGTATGTAACCAGTGTGGAATGACGAATACAAGAATGTTTTCAATCTTGATCAACACACATAATATGCAAATAATCATCTTTCTCCCCGGCTATGCTCTATCAATGAGGCAACCAATCAGCGAAAGAAGTTCGCGATTAGTTACGGGCCTGTACCCTATCCCACGAAATGACGTTGCAGCTCTCCGCGCGGTTTGCATTTCGCCTTCATGATTCTATTATAGCACGAGCTCTAACAGAAGGCAAATTGTAAGGCGCGAGAAAAGGAAGAGGCCACAAAGAACTTCCATGATACAGAGCGGAAATCCGTAACGAATTTTAAATCCTTTTTACCAATTAATTACGTTATTCCGGAAAGATACACGTTATACAACAGGATTAAAAACGAAGTCTTTTTTTTTATGACGGATTAATGCATGAATACGCGCAATCTAAATCGCGCAGATATTTCTCGATATTTCGTCAAAAAAGACGGACGAACATTCGTAATCTTATCTTCTTCGTAAATCCAGATAGACGCGAAGTCGAATTCCGAATTCCTTCACCGTGACATCGACGTAATCGGCCGTTTACAGGATAAATTCAATCAATATCCGTCCCGGTGTGTGCTGCGGCTCGGACGCGTCTTATATGGCGACATCAGGCGCTTTTTGCCACGGCCATAAATCGCGACCTATGATGGGCTACATGTGTCGACGGCACGCCACGGTTTCTTGCGAAAACGTGAGCCGCGACCCAATGGGCCCCGCGTGATTTTTACATCTTGTTTGCTTCCACGAGGGCCCGAGCAAGCCCGCTCTCGTTCCCGCGGGTCTATATGGCGCTCCGTGTTATTCCGCGGTCTTCGAGTTCCTCAGGACTGTCCTGCCTGTTCTTCGCTTCCCTTCGCCTTTCTTATTTTCGAGCCTGGCCGAGTTGTCGCCGCGATCATTCGTACGGTTCTCGTCTCGGAGGATAACTTCGTCGCCGCACATCGAGGAACCTCGTTCGCGAATACGTTAAAGATAAAATATAAAGATAAAAAGTTTTTTTAGCACATAAATTTTGTAACATTTCGAAGATATTATATCTAAAGTATTAATTATTGAGACTGTTTTAAAAACTGTAATGATATATAAACTGTATAGACTGTTTTAAAAAATGTAGTGATATAAAAAATGTTGATATTATCCTCGTTTATGTAAATCACGTTCTTGAATAAACAACTTAATTATCTTGTCAATTAAAAATCTGCAGTCTATTAAAAACAAAAGCCAGTTTTTTTTATAGCCAATCTTTCAAACCTGCATTTTTCTTTACAATCGACATTTGGAGTTGCTGAAATGGCAATCTCTGTCTCAGCGCAAGTAATAAATCCATCTTTCCGTTCTTTACAACGTTCGTAATGAATCATTGTAAGCGGTTTTACGTCCAGCCTATCACTTGACATCACGGGCCATCATCTCATGTCTAATAGCTGTATTACGACACATCTACATAAATCATCACGTCGCCGATATCGTCGTCGGAGACCACCATCGCCAGTACATCGTTTTAGATTCCACGCGTAGGTGGTTACACCATAACTCGTTCTGTCTCCTGACAGGTACTCGGGCCGCGACAGTAGCAATAATTCCTAACGATTTTATCTCCGTGGAATTTCAGCCGAGACGCAAATGTCCCTCGTAAAGATGCGCGACGATGCCGCTTAGGACAATCTCGAAAACGACGCGGTCGCCGAGATCGCGGCTTTTTGCTCTATATGCTTCATCGAGACTCTACACTGAAAGACCAACCGTTCGTCTGACTGCATAAATTGACGTTTCATAATGAAAGACTCGTACTATTATATATATAAAATTATATATACATATATAGATAAAATTTTCTCCGATTCAAAGATTTATTAAGTACTTCTGTAAATTTGAGAATACAAATTTAGAATACTTTTTACACAAATACCGATACATTTACAATTTTGCAACAATTTCTCATAATAATTTAATATAATAGCACTTTGACGCGTTTATTACTTGTATACATCGGTTTCAAAATAATTTTAAAAATTTGATATAAGATAGAATTAAAATCTTTTCTTATCATTAATAACACATTAATAAAAAATTTGGCGATGCATATATATGTATATCTAAGAGGAAAAAATTGTTCCATCTATATTTTAATTTTCACGAAGAGATTTTAAAGCTACGCGCTTTGAACCCAAAATACTTTGAATCTGTCTATCACTCTTAACACTGCCAGGTCGTCAGAGACAGGTTCCAAACCAGTACGCGAGTGCGACCAAGGAACTCCCATCGATGTGTGCGCGCGTGTTTACCCTGCGGGTACACTCTGACTGCGCCTCCAACTTGCTCATACTATTTGAACGAGTCGATAAAACCGCCGTCGAACTATTTATCGTACGCGGAACAAGCAAGAACGGTGTACTCGCCTCGTCGAGGGCAAACAATCGCGGTACCGGGATTATCGAGAGTCGCGCTTTTTATCCTTCATCTGAACTTTCCTCGCACCGGATCTTTCACCGCATTCTTTCCTCTCGCTTCTCATACATTTTTCTCCTTTCCCTCGCTTCATTCTTCAACAACCTCCTCGCGCACGTGCCGATAACAGCATATTTCCGTGCCTTCGAGAAACAAGACCGCGAGACTCGCTTATCTGCGAGTGACGGTCCGATTGTTTGAAAATCGTAAAACCCGTAAAAAAACCAAGAAAAATCGAACGGATTGGTTTCCACGAATTACAAAATCCACGACGAGGCAATGAGTTCATCGAGGGCGTTCGCTGCGAACGATTAACCGCGTTCTTAACACGTGAAAGACATGATTCAACGAGCAACTATGCAGTTATGTGAACACGTCGATACGGCGTGTAGCTAAAATAAAAAAAAAAGAAAAGAAAAATAGCAATCCGTTTTTACTTTGCAGCAAATCTTTTTTGTTCTCTTCTTTTTATCCTGCAACAAATCTTTTTTGCTCTCTTCTTTTTATCCTGCAGCATATCTTTTTTATCCTCTTCTTTTTATCCTGCAGCAACTCTTTTTTTTTTATTTCTTCTTTTTCCTTCCTTCCTTTTTCTCTTCTAACATAGATAAAAATGTACACATAGAATACAGATAAATAACGCGAAACATCGGAATAACATAAATTGCATCAATAACAGTATATGACAAAATTTATTTCCTTCAAATAAAGAAACTTCAAATAAGGGACAGGGAAAGAAATAAATATACGTGCGATTTTTTTGTATTCCAATAACGGTAGGAAATTCTTACAATTGAATAGTTTCGTTCACGACATGCTACATTATTAGTAACTGCTATGTAAAAACACGTAGCAATATCTCTTCCTATATCTATTCTACAAATTGACAGTTAGCTTTTCCTTGTTATTTTGTGACACTTTCATGCTCTCGCTGTTAGTTTTCAGAATTAAGAACGTCTCGTCTAGAAGGCAACGCGATTACGAACGGTGTAATCCATTCAGTCATGGTAGTCTGACAATGTGATAAATAATATCTGGAACTGATCGAATTTAGGATGAGAGAGGAAATGGGGCGAGGATTCATACCGTGACAACGAGCCATGTAACGGCATAAATCTTTTTGCTTTTCTTCAACGCACCTGCCCTCTCACTTCCGCCAACGTGCATTAAAATTAAGGAAAAATCATGTCGCTCATTTTTCTCCTTCTTCCTTTTCTTTCACGATTTTGTTCGACCGTGCTCTATCTATTGCTCGCTACTGTTAAGAAAGGAGCTCAAGATGTCACTGTCATGCATCACTGTAATGTAACGTAAAAGACTCGTAACGAATTTAGAATTTCGAGCCGAGGATGGTTCGTTGCGGATGATCATCTGGTTACCGGTTGTGCTCACCCTTGGCCCGTCATTGAATCGTTTAACGTCTTATTTTCGTTCAATTCTTCGGATTCTATCATTTCGATACGCACGAGCATTTAATCGGTATAGAAAAGTTACCCATCGACATTGTGATCGATCACTCCAAAGATTGGATAGCTTATAATTGGTAGAATAAATAGAAAATAGTACAAACTTACTAATATCATAGGCTTATTTCTCTATACATCATTCAATAGTTCGCTTCAGGTATGATATAATTATTATTTGATAAAAAAATATCGCGCATATAAAAACTTATCTAATAGAATTATCTTATCTAATAAATATATATGTAGGACATATTATTTATTTATTATTATTATTAGAAATATATGTATACTTCTCTCTCTCTCTCTCTTGCTCTCTGTAAAAATACATAATTATATTAATAATTATATTTTAATTAAGTAAAGAAATGTTTATTATAACAAAAATTAATTTAAATAACTTAATGTGATTTTAACTTAAAAATGTAGAACACCATGTAATATTTTTTCACTAATGGGACAATGTAATGTTGTCTTGGAAGGGTGCGAGCTCGCGATTTATGAAATTGTTTCGTCCGCTCTTCTCTCGCGCGATATCTTCGCCGACATAAAAGAAGCCGGCGCGCACCTGCACCTTATGCAGATAAGGTCGAGGTGCTTCAGGTCAACCCACTCAGGGTTAAGGTCACGTACCGTCTTTTGCCTCTCGCTCTCTCTCTTTCTCGCTCTCTCTCTCTCTCTCCTTCCCTCTCTTCTTCTTGTCGTTCTCTCTTATGGACACTCCTGTTCTCCTTCGCTTCCACCTGCGAGGACTTCTCGCACAGGTAGTTTCTCGTAGAGAATTGAGACGTTGCCTGACGTCACCACTCACCTCCTACGCGACCAAACACTGCGAAAGTTTTGTCAGCACTTCTGGCGAGTAGAAAAATATTGATATCTAGAAAAAAAATAATATTTTATCACGGAGGAGGGAATCTATTACAGTTTTAATAAAATAATTACTATAATTACTATTATTAGTATTAATTTTTATCAGAAATATTATACAATTAGATAAATAATATTGAAAACTGAAAAACTTAACGATACAATATTTACGATAAAAACAATACTACATGTAATAGTTGATTTTGCAGAATTTAGAACTGTATATCTCGTGCGCTCAACAGAGAATACGGTTTCCGACACGTCGCGCATCGTAAATTTTCCGTGATCTTCTTACAGGATGTCGAGAGACCGCTTTCATCTACGCCATCACAAGTGCGGCAGTTACTCACAGTATCGCTAGGGCATGTAGCGAGGGCAGCATTCAGTCGTGTTCCTGCGACTATACTCACCAATCACGTGCATCATCCGCCGTTCGAGATTGGGAATGGGGTGGTTGCTCGGATAACATTGGATATGGCTTCAAGTTCTCTCGCGAATTCGTCGATACCGGCGAACGCGGTCGGAATCTCCGCGAGAAGATGAATCTACATAACAATGAAGCCGGCAGAGCAGTAAGTTTCAATTTCTAAAAATCATTTTATTTAAAAAGATAAAAAGAGAAACAGGGTAATAATTAACCTGTTTCTGCGTGCTGGCTTCTTTTATGCCGGTGCAGTCCAAAGTTCACCTAAAATATTTCATTTATTGTGATCTAAATTCAGATTAAAAAAATGTTTAAATTCAATCTTGATGTTCGAGATTCATATTATACATCCTACTGTATTATGTGCTGGTGTATTTGTAAAACTGTTTTGAACGAAATAACAAATCCGCAATAAGACACTTTTCGCGAGACGAGAAAGTTAAAAGTATCATGAATATTATTAATTTTAATTGCAAAGAAAAATTACAGGACTTCGCCTCTCTCTCGTTACAGCATGTGACTTCAGAAATGCGTCAGGAATGCAAGTGCCACGGCATGTCCGGCTCGTGCACGGTGAAGACCTGCTGGATGCGGCTGCCGCTTTTCCGCGTGGTCGGCGACAATCTGAAGGATCGCTTCGACGGGGCGTCCCGGGTAATGGTCAGTAATTCAGACCGCGCGCGCATCAACAACAATGCCATCACCAGCAACTCGGCGAGCAACTCCGTGCACCAGCACCGCGACGGCCTCGGACGCCGGCATCGCTACAACTTCCAGCTGAAGCCGTACAATCCGGAGCACAAGCCGCCCGGGCAGAAGGATCTCGTTTACGTGGAGCCGTCGCCGCCGTTCTGCGAGAAGAATCCCAAACTCGGCATCCTGGGCACCCACGGGCGGCAGTGCAACGACACGAGCATCGGCGTAGACGGCTGCGACCTGATGTGCTGCGGCAGGGGCCACAAGACTCAGGAGGTGACGGTAATCGAGAGGTGCTCCTGCACGTTCCACTGGTGCTGCGAGGTCAAGTGCCAGGTGTGCAGGACGAAAAAGACGATACACACATGTCTGTGAAAAGAGGGAACCCGGTCGTGAGATATCTCGTAATATCTTTATAATCTTCGAGGTAACCTTTCGTGCAGGGTTAAACGATCAAAGTTTAATTCGAACTTTCTCTGTTTTCGCGGTAACCCCCCTCCCCCTTGCATAACGATACGTTGAGGAATTCAAAGGATTGAGACTACTCTTCTTTTTTTTTAACTCAAGAATCCTCGTAGTTTCTTTCGTGGACGATCGACGGTCTGTTTCTGCGAGAGATCCCGCCGTGGGTCTTGCCGGACGGGGATCGAAGTCGTCGTGGAGTCCCGCGAGGAACTCGCGGAACCTCCTCGTCTCCAGTATTACGCGAAACGAACGAAACCACATATATTTATTACGTCGCGTCGCGCGCGTATTAAAGACTGAGATGGTGAGAAGCGTTCGTGCGATTGTAGGTTTTTAAGGCTTTAAGATAGGCAAGACTACGGGATGTGCGGGAAGGGATGTGTGCGGTAGAAACGGTGTAAATACCGGTGTAAATGCTAGCGTAACACCGGTTCGCTAATCTCGCTCTATTCACCGTTGGAGATCAGACTGATCTATCCGCAATTCCCGTAATAAAGGACTCCTCTGGCATCTTAGCTGTGACAGTGTCATATATGGTAGAAAAAAATAATTTAAGGCTCCTGCTATCCGCATCTCTCATTCGATTGTTATGCCGGAGACATTCCGGTAAAATTATTATCCCCGCTGATAACAATTCGAATTCAATTCATTGCATCTCTTCATACATTAATCAAATTGGCTTGCTTCTCCGCTGTTGATCAGAGGGCTATTCACGATAAGTAAGCTGATGTATGAAGAAGCCTTCAATTATTTTAGCCTGCTGCATATGAGGTCTTCGTTTTAAGTGACGTTCCATTGGCTAGCAACGCGAGCATCGTGGTCTCGCGAAATTATTTATTTTAATGGTGTCCTCTTTATACTTTAGACACTCGCTCCCTTGGGGAAACGGGCAATTTCGTATACAGATCGCACATATTTGTATATAAATAAATTATAGCGATATATTTTGCAGCAATGCGAGCCAATCGGTGGCCAATATATTTTCTCCGTAAGAAACTATTGTAAATACAAGTAGATTTTCACACGCGCGACGAAGACGAAGCCCCACATTGGGAGTGGTAAATTATTTTTATAACTTTTTCATATATCCCTCTTTTTCCCTTCTATCTTTATCGAGTAGCGGGATATCGAGAATCCCATCGGTATAAAAATACCTTTTGCCAATGCTGGATAAAGAGATTATTTCTCGAAAGAGAAAATTCCAATAAACGAGGTAATTCCAATGTTGTGCATAATAGATGTATTAATTATTGCTCGTAATTTATACAAATAAACGTATAAGAAGATTAAATAAATAACGAAATTAAAATCTCTGATTATATTATTTTTATATCCTATCTGTTCCTCTCCTAAAAAATTATAAAAGTTCTTTCTTAATTAATTAATTTTAAACAAGTAATTGCATCGATTTATCAAGTAACGTAATAAGCATCAATAATTATAATCCATTACATGACAATTTATTTTGCATCTAACATTTAATGAAAATATAGAAATCACAATATATAAGTAGGTATATTTTATTTATTAAACAATAAAGCAATAAATTAATAATCTTTGAATACAACAATCTGATGATAATAGCTGCCTGTCATGACGTGTTCGGAATAAGAGCGATAAATTTTGGTTTTATAAAGAGCTCCCGCAAAAGCGAGGTTCGAGCGCTAGAGCTCCTCGATCGCGGATCTCCGCGGATGAAATGTACGAGCAATCCCTCGAACTTCGGCCCCACGGTCGACGCGCCGCGCCGTGTGTGTCGCAGGACTATTCAATATTTTCCCATTACACGATGCGCGCCGCCGTCGACGTACTCCCGCGAAATATAGCCAACTGGTTCCCCAACTGGACGACTTCATAATTCCTGCGCCGAGTGAATGTCGTGGGAGGCCCATGCCCCGAGGAGGACTGGTTCGGCTCTCCTCATCCTCCTCTCCTCTTTCCCTCCCTCTCCCCTTCCCACCATCCCCTTCTTGCCCATCCTCCTTTTTCTCATCGCGTTCTTTCTTCCTGCATCTCTGCCTTCCACCGTTTCAGCGTTCAGCGAATGCTGCACGCGATGATAACGAACGCAGGAATCCCGCAGGAATCTCCGCGCGGGATAAAAGGACCCTGACCGCATACGAACAGGCATCCGCGCTAATGGTACCAACACTCCATCGCCGACCTACCGGCTTTCTCTCCCTCTCGCCCGCCCCTTTTCACCTTTTTTTCCACATGCTCCTTCCCCCGGTTTACCTTCTGCTGCCGCTTCCTCCTTCTGTTGCGTATCTCTCTTTCTCTGTCGCCGCGTCGGACCACAAGTTCTTTTATCTATACCGTTCATGCTCACGAATAATCAATATTTCTTTTTAAATTTGTAAGAGAGAGAGAGAGAGAGAAAAGGAAAGAGAATATGCTCTAAGAGCTCAAATATTGATCAATTATAATATTCAATCAAATATGCTGTTTCTACATTTTTTTTGTTTTATTAGATTAATTATCGAAAAATTATAACGATGTCATAAATTGGTATACAGAATTGTGAGCATGTAAAGTAATCAAGGTAAAGAAATAAAACACAATTTTCTCGTTAGAAGAAAGACGATTTGTGACTTATGCAATATAATGGTTTACTTACTTAATAGGATATGTCAGTTTATGACAGCAAATTTATTTTAACGTCAAGTACTTTAATAAATCAATGTCTATACATTATAAACAGAGATAAGAGTAATTATCATTTTAAAATAAATTCAAAATATCACTATTCAATTCTAATATTTGTAGAATGTGATGTTTCTGGGCAATTCTAAGAGAATTATATTTTGCTTGATATATATATTGCTTTTTCTTTATAAAATTTTATCTGTTTTATACACACACACACACACACACACACACACACACACACACACACACACACATACACACATAACTAATGTATCCAAAGCTCTTGATAAGGAAGGTAAGATTGGATCGAACTTACAAATTCAAGTTATGCAACACAAACTCAGCATTTATGCCTATCTCATTGCATAATGGCCAATCAACTTCCGCCATCGAATTCTTGGATCATTCATCACATTGAGATCCACACTCGACGATGCAATTCAGGGGGATAGTATACCACGATAGTAAAACAAATTCTTACGAGAAACAGAGAGAGAGAGAGAGAGAGAGAGAGAGAGAGAGAGACTGCTAGCGTCTCGGCAGACAAGAATCTCGGGCAGCCGGACCACTTCTCACGGCGGTCCCTTTGATCTTACCTGACCCACCCACCCCCTCGGTCCCCCACCTCGACCAACGGACACCAGCAGCCTCTCCACAGCCCTTCCTTCTCCGCCGCCGTGAGTTCGGGTTTTTACCCCGGGCCAGCTCAACGTTGAGCGGCAGCCAACCCTCCCTCTCCGCCTCCTGCCCCCTTGACCACCATCCTCGCATTCTCGAAAAGCACGAGCGCGTCCTGGAGGCGACCGAGGTGGATTCATTCAGTTTTACTATTATTACGCATACCGTCACGCGTGCGGTTCGTTTCAGCTCGGGGAATGCGATCCTGGATCCCGACGATCCCGCCGAGGCGCTTGGTAGATGCGTCGGCTTAATGGAACGGATGTCTGGGAGGCGGAGAGCCACGGATAAATACGACATGTCGTTAAGAGACCCCTCTGCGGCTCTTGAATCCTGGCAAACTCGGAAAGCAGCGCGTGCCAATTTCGATTTCCCGAATCCCTCTCGCAATTCGCAAATTCCATCGATATATATAAATGCACGCGGCAAAAGTATATTTAAATTTAAAAAAGATTAACGTTATCATTCTTTGTACTTCTAGAGTTTTATTTTTCACGAAAAAAAAACTCCCTTTCTGGTTCTTTATAATTCAAGAATTATTCAGAAGATTTCAATAGTTTGATAGTGAAAAAAAAGTAATATCAAATTAACTATATAAAACTTATATAGTTATATATATATGTATATATAGTATATATATATATATAAAACTTTCGTATAAAATAATAATAATAAATACTTTCACTAAAAGTATTTCGTCAATAATAGTTACTCTACCACTGATAAAATTGAATTTTATTTAATTCATTTAAATGTACCCCCTGTGTAGAATAAAAACGATGGTAGCTCAAACTAATTGGAGATAAAGTGCGCCGTGTGTCATCGACACTTTTTACCAGCGCTCCTTTCGCCGCGCTATCGTCATTTGAATCTTTCGCATGGTTCCCTCGCCGGCGAAGAGAAGAGCGATCCCTGTCCCCGGCGCCGCGATCTGATAGAGGCGACGAAAACATTTAGAGGTTATAAGAGCCCCCGGGACGATAAAATCGGGGCAGCCAGGCGGGCGGAACGACACGCGGCGTGTCGTGCACGAACACACGCGCGTGGCATCCTGATGGGCTCCTCTTCACAAGCCACTCCGCACGCGGAGGCACTCCGATTGTCATTTCCTGTGCATTTTGTATTCTCGAAACGTAAGCTTGGATGCAGGCGCTGATACGTATATATAGAGGATCCTTCACGTTGGATCATTATTGCCTACGAGAACTTAAAGAACCGCCATATTCTACTTTCTATTTCTTCTAGGTTGAATAATATCACTGCCGACGTTTAAATCTAGGCTGCGTTCAGAAACTTCGTCCAGGTGCATCCATATAAGATATCATTTTATCCTTGTTTAACATTCGGTGAATAACAAGGATAAAATGATATACCGTGAATTCCTGAACTCACCCCTGTATTAGTTACGTGCTAATAATAATACAACTTTAAGTCGAACGGAAAGTTTGTTTCATTTTTTGTACGTATTTATACTTAATGCCATTTCTTCAAAAAACAGAACGGATTTTCCACCCATATTTCGATTAATATAATGGAAAGTCAATATCGAATGTAAAAAAAATGTACATTTGAAAAAAACGAGATAAAGATATCGAAGAAAGAACATCTGGCGAAATTCAAGACTTTGTGTCCATTATTTCACAGTTGTTCGCCCATCTTCAAATTATTCCCAATAAAAAAATAACATGCACGCACACATAAATCAACTAATTTATCGTTTTTGCGATCACGCGAGTCAAAGGTACGTAGTCCATTCTACTCGTCGTCGTCGTCGTTGTCGTCGTCGTCGTCGTCGTCGTCGTCCACCCATCGTCCACGTCGTCGCCGGGATATAGGAATGGCTGGAATCCCTTTTGGCGGGACCTGGAGCTCGTCGTCGTGGCCATTCGTGGGAAAGGATATCGGCTGACATTCGGGACCACACCGTCGAATTATCGGCGTTTTGGCATGTTATAAAGCCCCGACGCGGAGCGCGCACCTCCTACCCCCCGGCCTGGCTTCTCATTTCGCTTCCTCGATCATTCCTCCTCCAGCCGTCCTCCGCGGAACCAGTAAAGAGAATCCCCCAGCGGAATCCGCGT